CCCCTGTAAAAGAAGTTCTCGTCTTCTGCTGTGCAGTAGAACTTTCTAGGGGACTTTTAAAGTATGCTAATATACTGAATCCAGAGCAGAGTATGGAACTCCTGGGGGCGGTTCCCAGGCTTCCATACCTCCTCCTAAAAGCACCCCAAGCTGTTCTAACACGGAGGCACAGATTAAGCACCCCCCTACAGGCTTAGGCTTTGAGCAGACATTATTTGCCGTTATAAAAGAAATGCACATACAATGTTGTTTGTTCGTTGTCTTTAAAGGACACATAGGAGCCGTATATGCCGATGCATACATAACATCTATGACAGCACTATGAAGCTGAAACAAAGCAGTGTGGTCTTGTAGCTGAAATAAACTATTTGTCAAAAATATTGATGTAAAGCCAGGCATCGTGTCATATACTTTTAACCCCAGCACTTGGGAGGAAGAGGCAGGCAGATCTCTGTGAGTCCAAGGCCAGCCTGGTCTACAGAGTGAGACTCTGACTAGAAAACAAAACTGATGTAGCTGATTTGGTATATGCAAAAGTAACATTCCGAATCAGTGGGGAATTCAAGTGGCTCTTAGGTGTGGATACGCAGCTGTCTTCCTAAACAAAATAATGGGAATATTTTGATAGCCCTCAAAATGTAGTTAGCAAAATACAAGCTATTGCAGAACCACATGGCCATTCAAGCAAATTAGTGGTAAGACTCTATAAGAAATGACTGACAATCATGCTGATTTGTAAACTATAAAGCAATTTATAAATAGAGTCCAGTTATAAAAGAAAGGCATACCCATACTTAAAATCACATACAGGAAGGGCTGGGAGGACCTGTGGACTCCGAGTGGAGACACCCGCAGGGAAGGAAGTGAACTTTCACTCTAGGTTGTTTGTTTTTAAGACTTTCCTTAATCACCCGAGGCAGACCTCACACTTGCAGCAACCCTCCTATGTCAGCCTTCCAAGTGCTGGGGTCACAGGCGTGTGCCACCAAACCCTGCCCGGCTCACTTTGACAAAGTGCCAAGCTAATTCAGTGAAGGAGAGCTAGCCTTTAAAAGAGTGGTGCTAGGGAATTTTGACAAATTTATCCCCTCCCTCCAAATTAACTTTGATTTGACCTGACACTTCATGAAAACCAGTGCAAAGTAAATCAAAAATGTAAATGCAATGCATAAAGCTACAACTCTTATAGAAAAAAGATAAAGGAAAGTCTCCAAGAATTAAAACCTGTAATAAGAGCACAATGCATCCAAGGAAAATCTGAGCGGCTAGGATGTGACGTGCTTGAGGGGCTAAAAATGAAAGCATTGATAAAGTGAACTTTATCAGAATTACTTTTTCTATAAAACATTATAGAATTGGGGAACATACCTGCAACCACATAATATATATGTAATTTCTGTCAGTTGTTAGATAGGCAAAATTCACAAATACACATGTCACTGAAAGTCCATATTGACAGGAAATAACCACATTAAAATCCACCAAGCAAGCACAGAGTAAAACCACAGTAAGAGATCATGACCCACTTATCAGAATGAATAAAATAAATAGTGATAATGCCAAATGCTGGAAAGATATAGACAAATTCCATTATCATACATGGCTGGTGGCAATATAATAACTCCCTTTTCTTGAAAAATAGTTTGGCAGCTCAATTTCCCATAGGAATCAGATATACCATCTTCGTCATTTGTGACAGAGAAATGGACATTTCCCTTCACGCAAGAACTTGTATGTGGTGGTAATGACAGCTTTATTTGATGTTAGAGTTTATGCTGAAGTGTCCCCCACAGGCTCAAGCATTTGGACACGTGGTTCCCCTGCTGGTGGCTTGTCGGACCTTTAGGAGGTATGAGTCTCATTGGAGGAAGTGGTTCACTATGGAAAGGCTTTGAGGTCTTATGGCCCCACCCATTTCCTTTCTTCTCTCCATTTCCCGATGGTAGATGGGATGTGACCACTGTCTCAAGCCTGTCCCACACCTTCCCTGCAACGATGGACTGCATCACTCAAACAGTAACCCAAATTTCTTCATGTTGCACATTCGGACTGACCAATGACAAAAGTAACTAATGCATTTGTAATAAACAAAAGATAGACCAACTTCAATCTTCTCCGATGGGCAGGATGGCAAGTAACCAGCCTACTATAGTATATCTGTGCTGCGCAGAGTCACTCCCTAATAAGAAAGGATCAGCGGTGATCTGTGCAAAAATCTGGGGTTCCTCAAGGTTACATTCCAAGTGGGCAAAACCAGCACTACATGAATCCTTTCATAGCACACTCACCAGACAGCGTGCTCTAGACAATTGGCTTCAAGGGGCTGGAAATAGGAGGAGTTGGTAGAAACAGATCTGCAGTTGTATCAGAACTTTGTACCTTATTGAGGTGGTGGTTGCACGAATCTCATGAGATAAGCTTGCATACACTCACACACACACACACACACACACACAGTGGAGGGCAAACAGTTGCTGAAATCTGAATGACAGTGGACTGGAGCAACATTAGTGACCGAGTTCTGATACAGCACTGCAATTATGCAGGTTAAGTCTGTGGGGCTTGGTGAAGTGGACCACAGACTTGGAGCCAGCCATTCTTTAATGGTCAGAATGTCTGTGTCATGCTTGCTCTAAGCTCTTGTGTGACAGGGCCTGCCTGCCAAGGATTAATCAATAGATCAAATTTTCATAGATTAAAACTTGTTATTCACAAGGCATAAATAAAGTAGATGACCTCAACAGCCACCTCTTGCTTTCCTGAGTGATGTTATCCTTACTTTGACTGTCACAGCGGGGGCTGTGAGTGATCGGGTAAACTGAAAGTTTTTGGAGCACTCTGGACTCAGGATCCCTGTCAAAGTCACCCAACCTCAGTGTCTCCTTAGGTAGAATTGTGTATATGCATATGTGTGCATGGATATTTGTGCATGTACATGTGAAGGACATGGGTTGATGTTGGGTGTTTTCATCGATCTATCTCCACTATAGTTTTTGAGTCTCTCGCTGAACCCAGAGCTCACTGGTTCACCTCGGTCGGTGAACTGGTCCACCTCAGGGATGCCCCTGCCTTCACATCCCAGATCTGGCATTACAGGCACACACTACCACACCATGCTGTTATGTGGGTGCTGGGGTTTGAACTCAGGTATGGGACTTCCCCTGAGTGACAGGGTGGGCAAGAGCAGACAGGAGCTGTAAACCTAAGCTCTGGTTGTCCCTGAATGTCACTTTCTCCATTTTTGCTGGCCAAGCAGCTCCCCAAGCCTAGCTCAGGTTCAAATGAGAAAAATTTCCATCAAACTTCCACGTAAAAAGCAGCAAAGAACCCACTCAGAGAAGACAACCAGATGTGTTTGGTCAATGAATGAATGAATGAGCTTGCCTTAAAGCATTAACACAGTTGTCCTCAAGTCACTTGGGAAGCATAAGGCCTCCTGATGCTTCAATATCAGAGAATCCTGTATGTTTTATAAATTCCTGAACATAAAAGTGTAGCTATGATTGTTTCCCTCTATCATCAAGTAGGCAGGCACTGGCTCGCTCAAGCCCCCTCCTGCGTGCCCGGTGGCTACCGTGTCTGTTGCAGTTTCTGGTTGCTTGCTGTCTCAATGTTCTTGCTATTTGCCAGGTCCCCAAAAAGTGTTCCTCTATGTTTGCTGTTGTGCTTCCTTCCCGTTGTACCACATACATGTAAATAAACACACACACACACACACACACACACACACACACACACTTGCAAGCTATGCTACAGTGAGGGATTACAAACCTTCAGAGAAATGGAAAAGAGATACGTTCTTAACTGCCCAGTGGGCCAAGAAGTGCATAAGCCCAGCCCGGTCTGGTGGCACAGGCTTAAAGCCCCAGCTACTTAGGAAGCTGATGCGGGAGGATCCTAAGTAGCTGGGCTACAGCAAGTTCAAATCCAATTTGGGCAACTTAATGAGACCCTACTTCAAAATACAAAGTGATCCCAGCACTCAGGACGCTGAGGCAGAAGGCTCTCTGTGAGTTTGAGGCCAGTCTGGGATGCACAGCAATGCCCAGGGCAGACAGGTTTACATAGCAAAATCTTGTTTCGAAAAATAAAATAATAATTTAAAAAAGATGGTCTTGGTGTCCTTCAGGATTGTGCCAAGTACTTGTGTGTGAGAGAGTCTTATGTCAAGAGGTACGGTATTCCCTTGATAGCTGATGGCTCAGCTATCTTCCCCAAATTCCATTCATTATCTGTATACGTCTCTGGAAGAACCTAGATGCCTTTCCTTTATCAAACCTTCCAAAGGTGGAAGATCTCTGTGAGTCAATCAGTGACAGTGTAACTCGGACAGTGCTGCAGGGAGAGTCTTGCGGTCTTTGGGATCACGGGGTCAGCGTACGTGTTCACATACACACACACACACACACACACACACACACACACACACACACACACCTTGAGCCCATTTCCTTAGAAGAACTTGCACAGACAGGCACTTGGATGTGTTTGCTCCCTCTGCGGCGCATGCAGCAGCCCAGCCGGTTGTTTACGGAGGTACCTGCATGTCAGGGCAGGGACCCTGGGCCCCTTTGTCTCCTGCTACTTGCCTGAGGAACAAGGAAAGCATTCAAGCCATCTAAGAACAAACCGAGGCTTGCCACATAGCTGCTGTCCTTCCGTACCCCAGCACAGGAAGGGCTGACTCAAACCAGTGGTCAAAATGGCAAAGGCAGCATGGAGGTCCTACACAAGCCACTTCTAGCCACCTTGTCAATTAAAGCACAACTTGTAAGAGAGGCACCCAAACCAAGCCCCCCGTTTCAACGCCCCGTTCACTATGAGGCTCAGAGCTCGATCACCACCCAGTGTCTGCTAGACTACAGGAGAGGACCGGGGACCTCCTGCCCCCCATCCAGGCCAGTGTGCCCTACCCTGGCTCCAATATCCCCAGGGATGCCCTCCAAAGTTCCTGCACCCTATGTCCCCGGTGAAAACTTACTAAGTGAAAACGTGCTTACCTGAGAGAAGGTTCTGGTGCCCAGCCGTGGAAAAAAACGCTAAGTTCTGACAGCAGTGACAGGGGCTCACAAAGAAGTCAGCTCAGTTTTAAAAGGAGAAAGGTGACTTCATCCCTGGTGCCGTGGAGTTTAAAAAGAGCAACGAGTGCTCCCTGACCGAGCCAATTCTGCCTCATCCGTGATGACTCGATCCAGAGCCACAGTCATTGCCCAGACTTGCTCAGCCCGCACAAGGTGGAGCGCTGGAATCCAGGCTCTGGTGTTTCCAAGCCTCTCAAGGCCCTGGAGCACCAATCAGTAGCCTCGGCCTCTCGGGGCACAGGAGGAAAGGCAGGCGCTTGCTTCTTTGAGCCATGGCATTATCTCCCAAGAATCCAACTCTAAAAACCCAGCACTCGAGGGAAAGAAAACAGGTAGTTAGCCATCAGAGAGGCAAAAGTCCCTGGGAAAGTGGTGGGGAGGAGGAAGGAGCCCGGGTGTCCTGTCTAGAGGAGGGCAGCAAGAAGTCTGGAACAATCGCCTTGCTGAGGCGGAGCGCCTGCCCTTGAGAGCCCCCCAAAGGTGGCAAATGGTTAACCCCACTTGGCAGAGGGAAAATATCCATTTAGGCAAAGAGGCCTGTCTAACAGAGGTGGCTGGGTTTCTGTTTCTTTTACTCACTCAACTGTGTGTGTGGTCATTTGTCATAAGAACAAATCAGTCCTGAATGTATCCACATTCTACCAGAAGGGAAAGGACATTTACATAAGGAAATGTCGGGTTTGTGTGTTAAACGGAGGCTGCTGCAGCAATTGGGTTTCTAACATGGGAGTGAGTTCCTGTGAGTTGTTAGTGGGTGGGCCAGGTCCAAGGCCCAGCTGGGGTGCTAATGGTGGTGGCCGCTCCCCTCTCTTGGAAGTGGAACAGAGGGCTGAGCTGAGCAGCTCTCTGCTTCTATGCACACAGCTCTGTGTCACGGGAACCGAAGGGGAATCTAGGACACTGGACTCGTATTTGATTTCTTGCTGAGTGGTTCCAAGGCTTTGCCACCTCTCTGTGCCAAGTTTCACTGCAGAGAAAAAGAAAACAAGAAAATACCCCTATCTAATCAAATATTGCATTAGAATTTAACAGCGGAGCCTGGCGGGTGGTGGCACACACCTTTAGCCCCAGCACATGGGAGGCAGAGGCAGGCGGATCTCTGAGTTCAAGGCCAGCCTGGTCTACAGAGCGAGTGCCAGGAGAGGTTCCAAAGCTACGCAGAGAAACCCTGTCTTGAAAAACAAAACAAAAAGAAAGAGGAGGAGGAAGAGGAGAGAGAGAGAGAGAGAGAGAGAGAGAGAGAGAGAGAGAGAGAGAGAGAGAGAGAGAGAGAGAGAGAGAGAGAGAGAGAGAGAGAGAATTCAACAGTAGAAGTGGGAGTTTGAGCTTGGGCGGCTTCTGCTAAGATAGTGTGAGCTAATACGAGAAGGAAGAATTCTATCAGTGATAAATAAGATTGATGACGCAGAAGCCATTCTATTCAGTAATTGTCTTCTTCAAGTTCAGTTTGGATGGAGAGGGGCCCACAGTAAGTGTCCAATAGAGGACGTGAGGCGTCAGCCCAGCCCTTTCCATGACTCTTGAATGGACCTGCTGGGAATGTCCTGCTGGGAACGTTTAAAGCCACCATCTTGTCAGTAAGGCCATTCTGGAGGACGGATGCCAGTTTTGTTAGGATGTAGGAGACCTTGGTCCTCAGCGTTAACTCAGCTTTCAGGTTCCTACCAAAGTCACAGTGGATGAAAGGAGGTCAGCTTCTGGACCCAGGACCTCCTCTCAGACCTCAGGGACCAGGACACCATCCACGAGGGTAGACAGCCTGCCAGCTGCCTTTGTGGTCGACATTCTATTCAAATTTTCAAATTCGGAGGAAGGGTGAGCTGGCCCTTCGGTGAGCATGTGAGCATGGGTACCCTTGAGCTGCGTTGGTTCAATGATCACTACTGTCTCTGCTTTGGTCCTTTGTGGCTCCTAAATGCCTCAAACATTTCCCTTGGGCACGTATGAATGAAATTATTTTTAAGTTGTAATTTTCCAGTTATTTCCTGATAAAAATACAAATGACCAGTATGCTAATCTCAAGTTCTGCAACTTCCCTAAATTCGTGTAAAGAGTGTCTGTGTATGCAATCATTTATTTATGCCTTTCTGAACAGCAAGCCTCCTATCCATTTATTTTTCTTATTTAACAGCTTAGGTTTTTCTGCCCAATATAAAAGCAAAAACAAAAACATGGTGATAGTTGGTGTCCTTGCCTTGCTCCCAATTTTAGGGAAAGAGTACTCGGTATTTCACAAGCATAATGTGGACTGAAGGTCTTTTGTAAGCAATTTGCCAAAACCAAAGCTGTTACCTTCTCCTTCAGGCTTACTGAGAGCTTTTATTACAACTGGGCACTGAGCTTCACAGGATCTATAAAAATGACTATTTGACTTTCTACCCTTACTCTATAAGGTTACTAAAATTAGTGTTTGAATATGAAACCTCAATTCTAATATTGATACTTTATAATTTCTTCCTCTTCTTGACTGGTTGTCCAAGGATGTATCTATTTTATTAATATTTTAAAGTTCTAACATTTAGGTTGGATGTAGTCTCAGCACTAAGGGAACTAAGGCAGGAGAATTACAAATTCACAGAATGTTTGAACTATACTGCAAGACTTGGTCCCAAATAAACTGACAAAACTCAGTTTTACCTTTAGTGATTTAAAATATGTATTTTTTTTCTTTCTTCTGCTTTCTTTGAATTCACATTACCTGACTTTCTCCTGGAACTCAATTTGTAGACCAGGCCTGCCTCTGCCTCCTGAGTTCTGGGCTTAAAGGTGTGTGTCACCACCACCTGGCAATTTTAGTAGATTCTTAAGATAAGATAAAGTCTTAAGTCTTTGGTTTCACATTCTTCCATTATAGTTTATTTTGAAACTGAAGATGTCCTGTAACTAATCCTTGTTTTAACTGAACCCACAAATTTCAAAATGTTCTATTTTGCTCTTTCAGTTCAAATGTTTTTGAGTCTACTTGTGTCTTTTCATTACAATTGGTTGTTAAAAACAGACATTATTCAATGTGTGATTTCTACCCTAATACCTTATTGATTTCTTTCTTCATCTTCTTCTGTTGTTTTGTTTTGTTTAGAGATCCGCCTGCCTCTCCTCCAAAGTGCTAGGATTAAAGGCGTGTGCCACCAACCACCCAGCATTCCTATTGATTTCTAATGCAATCCCTCAAGGTCAGAGGACATACTCTGCAGGGTGTCAAACCTTGTAGCTGCATGGCTAAAACTTTCTGTCATGGTGCACAGACCATGTGGATTTGTACAGAGTGTGTATTTTACTGAGCGTTGTCCTGTAACTATCATAACTGTGTTGTTTTGGAAGACTGTCATAACCATGTGCCCCAAATTGACTTAAACTACACAAATTTATAGTCTCATGATTCTGGATGCTAAAACCCAGCTTATCAGCAGGAGAATGGCCCTGGAACTCTGAGTAAATCCTTCCTTGTCATCTCCTAACCACTAGTCTTGTTGTGCCCAAGTTGCAAAGATCCCTAGAGACCACCTGGAAGACAGACCCACCAAACTGCAAAACAATGTTTTAATTGTTCATCCAGCCATAACAGGTACCCTGTCTAGCAAGCTGACACAGCAGCCTCCAGAGAGAGTGAATTTCCCCATCTACTGCTAGGTTTTATAGACAAAAGTTACAGGATTACATCAGTAGGTACAGGTTGGTTTCTGATTGGTTGACATTTGGGAACAATTATCAGACTTTCTCAAAGTCATATTTTGACATGAAATACTCGTGTACCAATTATTTTCATTGGTCAGTGCTGAGAGGGAACATTCTGTGGTTTCTGTACTTTGTCTTGTTATTTGCAGGTAGCCTGTTGTTCATAGATACCAATAGTTTTCAGAACTATATCCTGGTGACTACAGGGGAGGTTTTGGTCTCCCCTGGAGTTTCTTTTGTAGCCAAACAGTTCCCAGGAACCAAGCATCTAGGAGGCTGGGGCAGGGGGCGGGCTCTGGAGTTTCTTTGTGTTCAGTTTGGGCCATAGGATCTGGGAGTTTCCTTGTGCCAGAGGCCTATGTGTCTTTTCTGTAGTCTGTCATGGCTACCAAAGCAGGAGGCTGAGTGAGGGTCTGGTCCCTTTATTTCTAAATTATTAGAAGTGAAGCCTCTGAGTTTAGTCTACCCCTTTCATTCCTAAGGGGCGTCCTTGTTTTGCCTTGGCTCATAGGTCTCTGCCTCTGGCTTTGCATGGATTCTTTCTGTGTGTCTCTACATAGCCTCCCACCCCCTACCCCTGCCCTGTGTCTGTGTACACATTTCTTTTTACAAGAATTCAGCTCGGAGTGGGTGGTGGTAGGGCACACCTTTAATCTCAGCACTAGGGAGGCAGAGGCAGGCGGAACTCTGTGAGTTCCAGACCAGCCTGGTCTACAAGAGCTAGTTCCAGGACAGCCTCCAAAGCCACAGAGAAACCCTGTCTCGAAAAACAAAACAACAACAACAACAAAAAAGGAAGAATTCATTTCAGGATCTGCCCCAAAGACATCGTTGTGACTTCTGCTTCAAATCTCTGTAAACGTTCTGTTTTTAATAAAGTTACACATCCTGAGTACCGCATGTGCCAGCTAACCTTCACTCTCAACTTGACAGCACTTAGCATCAGCCTAGCCTAGGAGACACGCCTTCGGCTACATCTTCTGGGCATTTCCAAAAGATTGACTCTGGATGTGGACAGTGCCATCCCTTGGGGTCCTGGCTGTGTGAGGATGAGAACATGCCCTTGCTGATAGACCTTCCCAGTCACAGCAGGCTGTACCCTAAAACAGAGAGCCAAAGCAAGCACTCCCTTCCCTGAGTTCTTTTGTCGGGTTTTTTGACACAGCAACTAAAAAAGTAACGAGCAAGATTCCTTTTAGGGGTCCACAGTTTCAGCCAATAAGATTCCTTTTAGGGGTCCACAGTTTCAGCCAACAAGATTGTTGTTCAAGCTTGGGCCAAGACTGGAACTCTGTTAAGTTCTCTCTTGTTCTGTGAGTTGACAGGGCTACAGAAATAGGATCTAATCTGTGGTTGTAGCACCATCAATTTTTTTTTCTTTCAATTCTATGACATTTGGCTTTGTTCCTTTTGAACCCATTATTGAGTACTTGGAAATTTCTGATTTTTCCTAGTGTATCAACCTACCTTTTCATCATTATAAATGCCCTCAATTTTCTTGTAATATAC